TGTCTGTGTGTGTGTGTGTGTGTGTGTGTGTGTGTGTGTGTGTGTGTGTGTGTGTGTGTGTGTGTGTGTCTGCAGAGGCGAGACAGGGAGCGTGCTCAGCTGTGTGCACCGCCGCTTGTGGATGAGCTAGTGTCCAATCAAATCAGATACAGGTTGCCCCCGCTGCTGTCAGTCAAAACCCAATCACCGCGACGACACCTTTCCTCCGCCACACCCATCCCCTCTCCCCCACCTCCCCAATCAAACTCAATGAATGCCACACTCCTCTCTGTGGTCACATCCTGTCAGGTTCAAATGAATAACGCTCCGTATCAAATCCGATCCTGTGTTTCCTCGTCGCCCGGCAGCGAGAGCTTTCTAATAGAAGAGAAAGGAGTTTGTGCTCTACATTCTATCATGTTTCTTATCTATTCAATCAGCAGGAGCACCGCAAGTGCTTGCATCACATTTCTGAATCATTTAGCCACAGACTGTTCACTTACCGTTACAGCTGAAAAGCCTTGCATAACTTTCGCGTGAAAGCTTCCTTACGTGTGCAAGGTCATTGTCACGGTTACAAAACAGCAGCTGACAGGTAACAAGATTACAGTAATCTGCAAACTGGATAACGATAAGACCCACTATAATCTATACTTCTACTTATAGATTTCTCTTTTTATGTTGTTTACAAATCCCATAAAAAACACTTTAACTAACAATCGTTTACTAAAAAAGTTTGATATAGCCTACTTTATTCTGCTCTTGTGATTAAAAACTCTGAGCCACTTCCTCTCTGACTTGTTGTAGTGCGCTGATTTGTGGACCTAATGTGTATTAATCCGCATCTGAAAATAGTCCCCAACAGATGCTCTCCTATTTGAGTTACCTTTGCAAAGCTGTTTAAAAAAACATATACAGTACAGGGTGTCCGCGGGGTCTTAAAAAGTATTCAAAGTTGATTAATCAATTTAGCGAAAATTAAGGCTAAAAGGTATTAAAAAGGTAAAGTGTGTCGCCAATGTAACCGGTTAAAACTCAAAGTGGCGATGAGGTCTTAAAATGTATGGAACGGGTCTTAAAAAAGGTCTTAAAAGGCATTAGTTTAGGACGGTTTTTGGCGCGATGTTTAGAGCGTTGGTCAAGGGGCGTTGGTGAACTCCAGTTCGAATCCCGCCTCGGCCGCCATTGCGTCAGGCCGTTGTGTTGGGCAAGACACTTTACCCGCATTTGCTCCTGTGGGTAATGTCCACAGCAATGACTCTTACATGTCTAATATGTGTAATGTGTAATTGTAAAGCGCTCTAATACAGAATGTAATGCATTATTATTATTACATTTGACTCCAGGATTCCTGCATATAGGCCTACCCTGAAATAGTATTAATAGAAAGTCATTATTCTATTAAAATATACATAATCTTCTAATTGTATTTGTAAAACATCCTTAAACCTACATTACATTATGCTTTCGGCCAATAAGGTGAAGGGCAATTTGTTGTAGTCATACATTTTAACACCTAATAAAGGTGTTATGGCGAACTAGCTCACAGTGGCTTGTTTGCACCTATAGCGGACACATTAGCATTCATTTAGAGTTGTGTGAGCAAGGCAAATATTAACTCTCGCTGTGGCTTATATAAAGTGGCACTAACTCCAGAGAGAAGCTGCTGTCCTTCTGATGTTTGCTGCTGGCAGGAAGTCCAAGTACATCCGAATTGTTTTGCCTTTTGTGTATTCAAACACACGGATGAGAGCTACACGATTTCATTAATCAAACTGTTTATGTTAAACCAAAAGCTTGAAAACTCTTTAAAGTGCAGAGGCAGGTAATTAATCATTTTATCCTTTGTTTTTTATTTTAAAAAAGAGTAATTAGAGCGCTGTTAAATATGTTAATCTTCTGCAGGATTGTTGGTCTTCTCAGGGATTTGGGACATAAGAACAATATAGAGTGCTTATCCTTTAATCATCCTAACTGTTAACATACTGATCAGACAACAATTGCTTTTGGTATCATAGATCAGTGTTGGGTTATAAAATGTTGAGACATTAACATAATTTAGCAAAAACACCCAATAGCGCGTTCTTTACCCTGATAATGATTACAGCTTGGAGAGGGAGGAATATGCTGTACCCATAATTACAATAAAGAATGACTTCAAGCGTATCATGACTTTTGTGCAGTGTTTATTAATGCATGCGAGCTAATTGAAAAGTGTCCACCCAAGCAGAGCTCATAGCCAGGAATAAAACATGGATTTTAGACATGCATGGAGGGAACTGGTCTGACAAATGCAGCTTCGTGCACTTAAACTGACTGCTCTGACAAAGATTGAATTTTAAAGAGGTTCATATTCGTTTGTTGTGCCTCTACTGTGACATGTCTCCAGGCTTTAATGTCAAAAAGCTTTTTATTTTTCTCACACTGCCTGTGCTGCAGCTTCTCTTTTCACCCTCTGTCTGAAACCAGAGCCCAGTCTGCTCTGGTTGGTTAGCTTGCCGGTTCTGTTGTGATTGGTCAACCGCTTAGAGATGTCCCGCCCCTTAGCCTATCACGTACAATGTGTTGGAGCGCCAATAAGCGTGAGTGTTACACATACTTGCCAACCCTCCCGATTTTCGCGGGAGACTCCCGATTTCATTGCCCTCTCCCGGTTTCCTCCCGCTGTCCTATTTCTCCCTATTTCTGACTAAATCTGATTTACTCACGACTGTTTCCACTCTGACTTTAATACAGCTACACCATTGTTTGGTTTCCATGGTAGCGCGTCTCTTTAGTAGCTGAAAGTCTGAGAGGGTGAGGAAGATAGTCACAGCAAACTGAACAAGAATCGAAAAAAAAGGGCCTCTTTAAACATGATGTGTAATAAACAAACAAGTCTTTTTTGATTTGCATTTTAGCATTTTAAGGTGGTGTACAACAACATCTGATTCCAGTATTGCATGTAATTTGACATGAATATTAATTTGCCTCAGGACAGCTTACTGAACAGATATATATGTTTTAGATTTGTTAGGATTTGTATTCCTAAAGTAACACATATTGTAGACTTTGAGCTTCCTAGTCCACAGCCTCCCAAGTGTTTGCTCAGCAGCCGGTGTCAGGGGAGCAGACTTGTTTCTCTTTCTACTCAATTTGAGAAGCCCAGCAGCAACAACAGTTAGAATTATTCAAACTTTTGCCTTTTAGAAACATCCATAGATTAAATCTGATGGAGCTTGGTTTAAGAGATGTGTTAACGAGGCCATGATCTTAGGGCAGGAATACCGTGAACATACGTGACCGAGGAATAAATACACACACACACCGTCGGCTTCAACCGGAAGTGACACGTTTTATTGCGCATGTCCCTTTTATCACGGGAATACAGGAAGTGATTAGTATAAGAGTATTAAATAAACAGATTCATAAATTACAATTCATAATTCAACAACATGTATTATTTTTTCGCCTTTAACCGTAACTGTACAACCACAAATAGCTACCTGGCCTCCTTTGGGAATGTTACGGATTGCACCTTTAGGAGTCGCTGAGGGTTTCCTCACATTTTCCAAGAGCGATGAATCAGCCCGACCCTTCCAGGTCTGTCCCCGTCTCCGTCTCCCCGTCATTGTAATTACTGTACAGTGCTTAAGGACTCGAACATTTACATAATTGATTCTTTTATCAAGACACGTCTCGCTATCTCTCTCATACACAATCTGTTATGCAGAATGGATTTTTTAACAGGCTGATTTATATCTCTTTTCTTCTTCTATTCTTGTCCTCCGTTCCACAATTTTCTTCTTCTTTCATTTCACTTTTGCGACAACTCTCGGCCCTCTGTGCTGTCCATCATTCATCCTCTCCTTCTCCCTCAGTCCCTTCTCTATTTTCTCGCTGTGACATCCATCTTCTTCTCTTATTTGCTCTCACTTGCTCTCCTCTCCTTCTTTTATCTTTTTCTTTTCCCCATCATCGTTCCTGCCAGCCTCCCCTCTCCTCCAGCCATCTTTCTCTTTCCATCTCAACTTCACTCTTGATCGTTTCATCTTCTCCTGTTGTCCTGCAGCGCTTGTCGCGGCTCCCCCCTCCTCTCATCACTTCACCCCTCTTTTGATTTTTTACTTTTATTGACTTGGAAAACTGTACAGTTCAACTCAGTGTCTCTCTCCTGTCTCAACAGGCCTGCCGAATACAAGTGGGATAAGAAGGACGAAGTGCTCCCCCCACAGGCCAAAGTGGACGGTGCTTACCTGCGCTTCGAGAGTCTCAACAAATCAGACAATGGCGTCTACCTCTGCTACGCTGACAACGGCATAGGAAACAGCCAGGGGGAGTACACTCTCCTGGTGCAAGGTAACTAGGAACAGTGAGAAGAGGGAATTGGGATAGAGACGGGCCCCGATGTAGAGGAAGATGCCTTTTCTTTTAGTTCTCTTCATCACGTTTCTTTATTTCTGTCGTTTGTTGTGGCTTTTGCTTTTATTTCTTCCATCTTTTTTCTCTTCTGATTTTCTTTCGTTTCTTTCCTCCTATTTTTTATTTTTTTTGTCTCATCCAAACCGCGCCACCATAACCATCCAACCGCTTTCGCTCGTACTTGCGCTTCTTTTCCCTTTCACTTTTGATGTGTCCCGTGCGCTTCGATCCATGGTTCTTTTTGGCGCTTCGCTTGCTCATTTCCAACTTCTCCTACGCCTTCATCTTCCTCCTCCTCCTCCTCTTCCTCCTCCTCCTCCAAAGATCTCATGGAGCCAGACTCCCCCGACACCACCTCACCCTTCCTGGACTCTACAACCTCTCCATCTTCTTCCACAATCTCCCTTCCCACTTCCTCTCCTCTTGATGTTTTCTCTGGCTCCGGCTCTGATTACTCCCCCCTTCCTGACCTCACCTCCACCTCCACCTCCTCCACCTCCACCTCCTCCCCTGACTCCTCCGCATCTCCCACCCCCTCCACGGCTGACATGTCGACCGCCATCTTTGAATTGTCCTCCACTCCCCTCTCAAACGCCCTCTTCCACGACCTTCCTTCCTCTCCAACTTCTCCTACCACCTCCGCAAGCATCGCTCCCTCCCATGCCTCCTCCTCATCCAACTCCTCCTCCCTTATTCCCTCAGTTACCGTCGGGGTGATCGGAGTTTACAATTTCACAGGTAAAACCATCTGAGTTACACACTTGTACACAACAACAACAACAAGAGAGATGCGAGAAGCTTAGTAAATGGAGTGGAAAAACAAATACCATCCACTTTACTGTGTTTTTCTCCTTTCAATACACAAACTGTGCTTTTGCCGTGTGGAGCAGTGAAGGATGCTGGGAGTGTGTTTAACATTCACACACACGTGCAAACACACACTCAAAGCTATCAGAAGAATCAGAATGAATGAAAAAAATTGCCGTTTCTGAACTCATGTTTTTTTTTTTCTTGTTTGCCTCTATTTTCTTTCTGTTTTGAATCCCCAACCCCGCCCAAACTTTCCAACACACACTCTTCTCTTTCATCCATCCATCCATCCATCCATCCATCCATCCATCCATCTAACATCCAACAATCCATCAACTCATCCACTTGAAATGATGCCGCAGAGAACATTCCAGGTATACTTTTTTCACCAGTCATCTGTCGTTTTGACTTCCTGTCGTTCTCTCTTTTCGTCCACCTGTCTATCTGTCCGTCTGTCCACCTGTCTGTCTATCTGTAGCTCTGTCTATCTGTAGCTCTGTCTATCTGTAGCTCTGTCGGTCTGTCTGTTGTTGCCTGTCTGTCAGTCTAGAATTCTTTTTTTTTACTTTGAACTTCAGTGCTGAATATTTCATACTCCTGCCCACGTAATGCTTTGTTGTTGCTCATACATGCACACAGGCTCACACCACAAGCTCACACACACACACAGGTTCAGGAGAGGGCCCCGTGCCAGGCATCAAGCAGTTCAGAGCATAGCACGTGGCAGGAGAGACAGGCAGAATAGGGCCTGGTACACCCTTGGACAAGGCTGGATCTGTGGGACCTCGTGAGGCCAAGAGGCGTGGGCTCGCCTGTACTCCAACAAGAAATCTCCAGCACTACACTCAAAATATACATAACCAATCAAAAGAGGACACTTGGCTCTTCCTATGTATGAAGTATATGATACTGTGTGTTGCCGGTTTTTGGGGCTCTGGAAGGAAAATGTGAGACAGTTAACTGCTTGGAGTGGAAACTGCTCGCGGCCTGTGGAACACTGATCTCCAGAAACCTCAGCTGAGCAATTGTATTCCTTATCACAACTGAAATAAATCAGTTTTATTATAACCTTATGCCTGGTCCTGGTTTCACTGAGGAATTTGGAAACACAACAAAACACACACACACGCACACGCACACGCACACACACACACACACACACACACACACACACACACACACACACACACACACACACACACACACACACACACAAGAAGTACTCAAGTACTGTCTTACCTAAGTAAGAGTATCAATACTAAATTACTGTATGAAGGTACTCTGTTACAAGTAAACGTTATGCATTAAAAACATTTTTAATGACTTGACATACTGCCACTGGATGTCTTTACCTACAATTATATTTATATAGTCTGAATCTATAAAGTAACTGGTAATTAACACTGTCAGATACATGCAGTGGATTAAAAAGTACAATGTCGGCTTTCAAAAGATGGTCAAGTAAAAGTATGAAGAAGCATACATTTAAGTTCCTCAACATTGTACTTATTATTATTTGAGTAAATGTACTTAGTTACTTTCCACCACTGCCAGCATTCACACCAGGCATTGAGATATATCTGACAAAGACACACACACACACA